CAGGACACCCCGCGGAGAGTCAGGGCCACCTGGGCTGGCTGACAGAGAGGGCCCGCGGCAGCAGCCCTCAGAGACCGGACAGTCGCAGCGTCAGATAAGAGCCATTTCAACTCGCCATTTGGTAAATCTTCATTTGACTTTGCTTCAGGTCTGGAATGTGACTTGGCCACGAACCTGGTGGGGCAGCCCCTGGTGAGGCAGCAGGTGATGAAGGGGGTGAGGGAGTTCCTGGAGAACCGGAATCCTGTGAAACCCCTCGTGATGTCCTTCCACGGCTCGACGGGAACAGGCAAAACCTACGTGAGCTCCATGCTCGTCCGCTACCTCTTCCAGGGTGGGCTTCAGAGCCCCTACGTTCACCAGTTCTCTCCGATAGTGCACTTCCCCCACGCTGAGCAGATAGAGCAGTACAAGGTAAGGGACACCTCAGCACAGCACTACTTCTTTGGGGTTTTCTTTGGTTATGTCTATCTTGATCCTCAGTACATACACATTCAGGCTGTTTCCTGAAGTGAAGTAGGAATAGAAGCTCTTTGTTTTACCCTCTCAGACAGACACGGCTGAGTGAGTGGCTCCACACACTGGCTGAAGGATCCACTAGTAACTGTGATACTCTCTGGCACTCAGTTATCACTTTCGTCTTCCCCAGAGCAGTCCTTGCTGTGATCATGTTCTTACTCCTCAAATATTTACACAGCCCTTTGAACGCACAAACAAAAGTGCTTTGCTTAGATGAAAGGCACTAAAATTCTCCCACTGCTTTCCAAACAGCTTGATGGCTGTGAAAACCTGTGTATCGCTAGACTTGTAATCCCCTCCTCACACAGCAAACAGCTCCTGAACAGCAGCTCTAGACTCTAAACCATGCCACTCTGTCTCTTAAAGCTGAGAAAGGAAAGAAATCAAAATGTGAAGGTTAGCTGCCAAACCCTCAGCAGAGTTGGGAATCAGTGCACCTGGATGTTTGCTTTCTGGGTGTTCGGAGAAGTTATTTGTTGTGTTATGTCCTTAGAAGAAATACTGTCACGAAGGTAAAACCCACACTCGGTGAAGTGCTTCAATTAAGAGTTATCCATGCCCCCGGGTGACATGAATGGTTTTGTGTGGGTTGGCATCTACACTGAAGTAACTTCAGCCATGGTAAAGAGCCAGAGCTCTTCTGTGGCAGCACAGGCACATGTTTTTGCACCAGAACAGGAGCTGGCAAAAAGCACTAAGAAGCTGGGAAATGCTTAGATACACAGTGAAAGAGAAGAAGGTGGGGAACTGTAGGAGTGTGAATATCTAGCTTTAGTTTGCTGCCTCCTTCTTTAAGTCTGTAATAAAACATCTACAAAGGGCTAATAAAGCCAGTAACAGCCACTGTGCAAAGCCAAGAATAAAGGAGACCTCTGAGTAGGTGGTGCTGTGCAGGGACAAGCTGCTTTCAGCACCTTCAGCTCCACTTGAGCTCAGGCCTCAGCCTCTGTTCTGGGGCAGCTCACGCCTCCCTCGCCGCCCCCAGTATCTCACTGCCTTACAACCTGGTGGGTATTTTTCCTAGGAAAGCCTGAAGCGCTGGATCCAAGGGAACTTGACAAACTGTGGACGGTCAGCCTTTCTCTTTGAAGAGATGGACAAGATGCACCCAGGCCTGATTGATGTGATCATACCATTCCTGGGACCCTCGTGGGTTGTGTATGGGACCAACTACCGCAAAGCAATCTTCATCTTCATAAGGTAACAGAGGCCCCTCTGTGGCATCATAGGGCCTTCCAGCACACTGCTTCTCATTTGGGCAGAGGTCATACCTACTTCTGAGCACACACTTGGTTTCCTTTTCCTTCTCCAAGCCTTGAGCCTCTACAAATACTAAGACTATTTCATTGTGAATAGACAGATGTGGAGAGTCTGAAAAGGGTCTCCCATCCCTGTTTTTTGGCTGCCTTTACAGGAGTCATTTTAGGCCAGGCAGCTGGGAGATCCTGGCTGGAGGGTGTCAGGTGCCACCTCTGTCCTGCAACACCATTCTCCCAGATACCTGGCAAATAAGTATCTCATTCTTGTGCAGCAACGCAGGAGGGGAACAGATCAACGAAATGACACTGGATCTGTGGCGTGCCCACAAGGACCGGGAGGAGATCAGCCTGCAGGACCTGGAGCCGGCCATCTCCAAAGCTGTGTTTGAAAACCCTCAGAGTGAGTCTGTGGAGCAGAGCCCTTCCTGCAGGGTCAGAGCCCGGCAGAGGGAGCCAGGCCCATTCCAGGCAGCCACCCACACCGCCTGCCACCTCCTCAGGCAGCCAGAAAGGGACTGAGAAGGGCTTTGAGGGAAAGGAACTGTGATCCCCTCAAAGTCTCCTGGCAAAGGGAAGGAATAGCCCAGCCTTCCAAGCCAGCAGACCTGTTGCCACGTTTAGCAAAGTTCTTTGGAGACGAGGTGTGTTCACAGCTGGGGGATGGCAAACAGCACAACGTGCTTGCTGAAAAAGCACCAAGATGTACCGATCCCCACTGCCTGCCTGGATCTCCTTGTTTTGCTCTCATCACAGGGAGCAGAGCTTAAATTCTGACTAGTCAAGTTAAATCCTCCCATTCCTGGAGAACAAGTCTGTTGGGGGGAGGAAGGGAGGTGACAACTGATGGGTTCAACTCTCTCCTTGTACAAAACTGGAGCAGATCTGTCTTCAGCCAAGTATTTTGGCTTTGCACAAAGCAGCTCTTTGAATTCCAGAGACTCTGAAGGTAAAACCTGTCTCTCTGCTTTTGCAGGTGGATTCTGGAAATCTGGGATCATTAACGACCATCTCATTGATTTTGTTGTGCCCTTCCTCCCATTGAAGCACCACCACGTAAAGCAGTGCGTCATCAGCGAACTTGTCCAGCAAGGCCTTGAAGTCCGTCCGGGTGTTGTCCAGGAGGTGGCTGACAGCATTCCCTACTTCCCAGAAGAACAGAAAATATTCTCATCAACAGGCTGCAAAACAGTGGCCTCTCGGATCAGTTTTTTCTTCTAGCCACTGGCAAGGGCCTTGCTCGGATCCATAGGGGATGTATACGGAGCTGTAAAGCGGCAGAGCCCAGGGCTGGCGGGATGAGCAGTGGGAGCTGCGTGTTGCCTCTCGGCAGCACAAGCACTTTTTTAGCTGCTGCAGGATGCGGCTGCGGGACCAAGTGCAAGTGATATGATTGAAAGCACTTTACTGATTTACCCTTGGCCAGGTGAGGGTGGATACAACCAGCCCACCGCACCACCCAAGACATCTGTGACAACAAGGGGAAAATGCAAAGAGGGCCTGCAGTGTCAGGGAGGTTCCTTACCCTGTCAGCAGCACCCACTTGCAGCTCTCCCCTTTCCAGGCAGCTATTGATGGCCAACACATCAAGATTCTGAGCCCACAGAAAGATATTTCTTTCCTACAGCATTTTAACAGTTTTTTAAAGCCTTTTTAAGCGTGGCTGTGCCTCAGCTCCTTGGTACAATGTGACAATGCTGGTGCTAACTTCTGCAGTGCTGGCCTGTGAACACCTTCAACATTGCAGCAAAGTTTCCTTTTCAAGGCAATTTTAGAGTCAACTTCTTTCCAGCTTCCTTTCACTGTGAATAGGTGCTGGTAGGGACCAGCTTCACTGTCAACAACCACGGAGGGGGTAATGTGGGAGATGGCAATATCTGATCTGCCAAGAGCCAGGTCCTTCCTACCACCCCTTTGTCCACCTTTCCCCTCAGGTCCAAAGGATTTCCCTGCAGCAAACCAGGAAAACAACAACAAGACTTCTTGCTTATTTTAACAGCTACAAAATGTTTCAGTTCTACCTCCAGGGGAGCCCACGGTGCCACTAATTGTTTTGAAAATTCCTTTTATTCAGTGATGATTTCTACAGCAAGCTGACAGTTGGTGCTATGAGCTGTTGAAGCACTTGTACATCCTTCTGCTGGTCAGACCTCACAGGCTTTGGCTGGCCAGCATCTGTTTAGCTTCTGGGGAGTGTCACTTACAACAGGGGACGTGGGGACAACCTGGAAGATCAGTGCTCCACACTGCCAAGCATGGGGTGCACAGCACCACTGGCCTTTGCCCAGGTTTTACCCTCCTCTGTGCAGTCAGTTATGAGAGAACAGGTCAGAGGAATCAGAATCATTCACTCTCTAGGAACAAACTGCCTGAGGGATGGGTGCAGGGATGCTTCCCAAAGCTCCCAATGCTCCACTCGGGCCCTGTGCTGAAAGGGGCTGCCAGCACTTGGGACGATTCCATCTCCAGGGCCAGAGCCTTGGGGACAGCGATTCTGACACCACCCAAACACTGCCTGGGAGCTGGCCCACAGAGACTCAAACATCCTGCTCCTTCCAAAAATCTTATGCATTTCTAATTTTAAAATAAATCTTTTATGGAATAAACAGTTGGGGAAGAGTCATTTACTCGGCTTTCTGACTGTGGCTAGCGTGGAAAGACATGGAGGATTTGCAGTTGCATGGGAACAGCTGTTTCTGGGGGTTGAGCTCAACGGACACAGAGAAGCAAGCTTCCACCTGTTGGTACTGCCTGCGAGGGGACAGGAGAGCACACTCGGCAGCCTGGCTCACCACTGGCCCTGGGACAGAATGCACCAGCCCACCCACTCACCTCACCACCGAGTTCTGCCATCCCTGCTCGTGCAATGCCACTGCAACCCGTCTCCACACAACGTGGTCCCCCAGGCTCAGCTCCAGCGCCTGCTGGTAATCCACTAGCATGTAGGCCGGTTCCCCCAGGCAAATGAAGCAGTCTGCAATGAAGCAGCATTGGCATCTCAGTTAAATGAGAGCAGCCGGGGGCTGGTTGCCACCCCTGGGCTTTGTCTGGAGCTCTCCATGCCAGTGGGAAACGTGCACAGCGTGTGTCCAGCCCACCCCAGCCACAAAGATATCATTAGCATCATTAGCCAAAAAGCTCTGAGCTCCACAAGGCAGGAGATGCAGCCTGGTCTGGAAGAGAGCAGCCATTCCCAGCTATGTCCCCAGCACGGGCCATGAGCAGAATGAGCCAAACCACCAGTGGTAAATCCCAGCTCCTGGTACCTCTCCCCACTGCTGAAGTGGTCCCGGCAGGCACAGCTGTGAACCAGGGTCAGGACCAAGGGAGAACACAGGGGCCCTACTGCCCCTTTCAGTCACCACTCCCTAACACAGGACCGCAGTGTAGGGCCTTCCCCTGCACATGCTCAATGCCTGAGCAGACATTGGCCCTGCAGGGAAGCCCTGTCAGCCTAGTCACATGCTGGGGCCACAGGCAGAGGGAGGGGAGCAGTGACTGACCTTCAGGTCAAGGCAAGGGCCAGGCGAGCCAGGCAGGGCTGCTCCCGTGCAGGCAGCAGCATGAGCACCTTCCTGAAGTTCAGCATGGCTGACTGAAAGTCGCAGAGCTGGAGGAAGGCCTCTGCCTGCTGCTTACACGGTTCTGCCTGCACCTCAGACAGCCCTCAGCCCACACTAGCTCAGCCCAGGCCTGCTCAAACCATCCAGGATCAGCCTGGCGATCATCCTGAAGCCAAATGCCAGGGTGAGAGCCAGCCTTAACGATGCTGCCTCCCTTCTCCAGTTCCCGGCCTGATGTATCCCTAGCCTTCCGGGGACTCTTTACCCTCTGCAGATCCAGGTCAATGGCTTTCAAATACCAGGCGACGGCTTCCTCCAACCGGCCTCAGGAGAAGTCCAACCCTTTCTGCCAGCTGTGGAGAGGAAAAGAGCCGTGAGCGAAACCCAGTGACATGCTGCTGGGCTGGGGGACTGTCGCACAGCCTTGGAAGAAAGCTCTGCTCCCCTAACAGGGCCGAGGGCCACCCAGGGCTGGAGGTTGGTCAGGGGAAGGTGAGGGATCACGTACCCCCGCCCCAGCCATACCCCAAAGGTCGCTGCTAAGGACGGTGTGGGTGGGAACATAACAGGCATGAACACATCAAACACGGGGCACAGCCCAGGGCACTTACTGCTCCTGCCCCGCACGACAGCGGGTGGGGACCCCGCTTCCCTCAGGGCCCAGACACTGCCCGGGCCCGAATACACTTCGCAGGGACCTCTTCCAGCTGCTCCTCCGGCACCACCGTGACG